GGGAGGGGATGGGACCCAGAGCACAGACACATGGAGGGCCCCATCCAAGGGCACAGGGACCGAGGGGAGGAGGGAGCTGAGGCAGGCAGGCAGTGGCATAGACTGCTTTGCAGAGCTGTGGGGAATTAGTTTTGCAGGCCACTGGCTTCTCTTGCCTTTCAGAAGCAGGTGGAAGGTCCTTTTCCCAAGAGAGGCAGAGCTGCTGAGGAGGCTGTAGGAATGCGCCATCTGTCCCTATAGTGTTAATGTCACTTCAGCCTCAGAGCTAGATGGGTGGCCCACCCTTTCCCTTCCCACTCCCACTGGCTCCTGTGCCCTGGCAGGCCAGGGCCTGGCAAAGACCCCCAAGAAGGCAGCACCTTCCTCTGTCTTTGACAATGCGAGATCTGATGGGTCCAAGAGTGCCAGCCCGTGGGAGTTGCAGTGCCAGGCCTGCCTGGCTGAGGGGCTGCCTTGCAGGCCCCTGCAGACCCCCCCTCCTCTCCTGAGGGGGCCGGCTCCTGAGGGAGGACTTAGGCTGGTCTGAGGGGTGCTGGTGCTGGTCCAGCGGGGGGATGCTGCAGCCAGGTCTCCTCACCAGCCTGTCTCGGTACATTCCCTCCATGATGCAGACATCACATTCATGTTCTTTTTGCTTTTTTAAAATGAAATTTATCTTTGTCTCCCATTGGAAAATGAATGCATGCTCATTATAGAAAATGTGGGAACAGATCAGAAGAAAGAAGAGTAAATAAAAATTGCTTTTTCCATTGTGGCATCACCACAGCTCCTCTGGCACAGGGCCCTGGGCTGGGCAGGGAGTCGTGGACCATGTGGCCATCGGGCTGTGGGTCTACAGGGGATGCCATGGGTGGCTCAGGCCTTCCTCCCTTGAGGGTTTGGGGAAGTGGTGCCGGCCCCCGCACGCTTGTCCATAGTGATGCAGAGAGCAGAGCTGACGAGAGTTGCTATATTTAATTTTGGTGCCTGCGTCACCTCTGACCACACAGCAGCGTCTACCCGGGCAGGCAGCACATGGCTGGGGGTGTTTCTGAACGACACTGTGAGAGAATCACTTTCCACAAGAAAAGGTATAGTGGAGGGGAAGGGAGAGACAGCAACAGAAAGTGAGGTCGTAAGTAGAAAATTGCTTCTGGGATTTCAAATGGCTTTGTCATGGGGCCCGCCCTTGCTGCCGAGAAATCAGTTGATCTGGGAAAGTTTGTTGCAAACCCTTGCCCTCTTGCTTTTGGGTGGAGCTGAGAAATGAATGAAGATAATGGGGCTTTATGAGTGTGGGGGAGGGCAGCTGAGGAGACAGCACCAGTCCTGACCCCAGCTTGGTCCCCTAGAAAGGCCAGATAGGAGCTGACCAGCGTGTCCCTGGCCAGGCAGTCCTGTCTGGAACATAGTCAGCCTGGCCCCAGCCGGGCCTCCTTAGAAGGGAGGCAGGTGAAGCGGGGAACAGGTTTGCAGTGTGTTACCATGGGCCAGCTAGATGAGGGTCATAAGCAGAAGCCGTTTCTCTTTGACCATAATGAAAAAGTGATAAGCCGCTGGGCCAGATGAAGTCCAGGCTTCAAGCTGCTGCCTCTGTCACAAGGAAATAAGATATGGGCCTAGTCCCCCTGGGGCCTGCTCCTTCTCATCCTGTGCAGGACAGGGGGCCAGCCTCGGAGAAACTCGCCAAGTGACTGGGAGTGTTTTCTGACACCTCATCTGAGCAGCAAACTGAGGTGTTTGGTTCACCGGAAACTCGCGTGTATCTCACTTCTCACTTAAGCCCAGCCCCTCTTCCAGTGAAACCTCCTGGGCTGGGGTTCCCGAGGTGCCAAGGGGCTCCCCGACCTGGGCCCCATGGTCAGCGTCTTCCTCCCACTCACCAAGCACTCTTCTCCCTTTTCAACCCCCTTCTCTCTGAGCCCTGCTGAGGGCTTGCCTTGTTTATGAAAGAACTTAGGCCACGTGGTTAGAGAAAACTCCCAGCAAATACTGCCAGGGATCAGTCCCCAGGGAGGGAGGTTCCCAGCCACAGTTGCAGCCACTGACACTTACCTACCTTGTTCGCTCTTCCTTTCTCATTCCTGACAGGGCCCTCTCCCTGTCGCCACCAGCTGCAGCTCGGTTCTGTGGCTCCGTAAGGCGTCCCTCATCGCTGGAGAGCCCCATGCCCTCTCCAGCACAGGGCGCACTGCCAGTGACCACAGGCCCCCTTCCTGGGGGGCAGCCTGGAAGGTGTGAGGGACAGGAGCTCCACAGTGGCTGAGGAAGTGGCAAGCTGCAGACCCCTAGTGGTGGGGCCCGGGACGGCCGTTGGCCGTCCGCACTGTGCACCTGCCTCGCAGGCCGTCCTGAATATGTGGCTCACAGCAGGGCCTTGGAGGATCCTGAGGAACTCTGCCCCACATCAGTCTCAATTCCAGTCTTTGTTCTTGAAGGAGTCACGTGGAATTTCACTGGAACGGTTTCCATCTTCTTTCTGGATACGCAGGGCAATACTTTGGCTGGCAGAGAGGACATGGGTCAAAGATGGGAGATGGATTGCTAGGTCCTGTTTACAAAGTCATTGCCCTCCATAAATATCCTTCCAGCCTTAAACCCTAGACTCTGGGTGGAGAAGAATGCCGAGACCCTGACTCCCACCCACCTCCTCTGGCTTCTGAGACTCTCCCACCCTCCGCGGAAGCAGCCGCTGCTCACCTCCAGAGGGGAGGCCCTCCCGAGGGAGGACATACAGCTCCCCGCAGCAGACCCTGTGTTGTTTCTACAGAGTTCTTTCTGGGGCTCAACCTGGAGTGCATGTGGTGTCTTGGTTGTCACTAGCCCAGGTGTCTGCTGTGGTGGTCCCCTGCAGGTATTCCCTCAGCAAATGTGACAGGACTTAATAGGCTTGGCACCAGAGAGCTGGTCCTGTCCCCTGCCCGGGACAGCCTGCTGGAGACCCAGCTCTTGCACCACCACCCTCTTCACCCCCACAGTCTTCTCTCCTCTGGGCCAAGTGTCCCCTGCCCCTGCACTGTCGGGTTTGCCTTCTTCCCTTGGCTCTCCCTGGGGAAAGTGAGTGGTTCTGGAGTAGCTGACTGCCATCATCAGCCCCCTGGTCAACTCCCTGCCATGTCCTCTGCTGTTGCGTGAATGACACGGCCGTGAGCAGCAGAGGGCAGCTGCCTTCAGGGACTTCTGAGCATCACTGTGGTGTCCCCGTGGGGCTCTGGGCTCCCCAGGGAGGGCGCCTGCCTGCCACTACAAGTTTGAGACTAGTCCTTGATGACTATCACCCACTGCAAAGGCATCCCATCCTGGAGTCACCCTCTGCCCTGGGCACCTCCCAGAGAGTCACAATGAAAAACGTTGCTGACGGGCATGGCCTGGAGCTGTGGCTTGGTAAGGCCTGCTGGTCTCTGCACTCCAGCTGCTGGCCAGGGCCAAGGGAGAAGCAACAAGAGCTGCTGAGGAGTGGCCTAGCCAGAGCCCTGTTCACAGAGGCAGTGCGTGTGTGCACCCTAATGGTGAGAGCTGTCCAGAAAGGCAATGGGCTGCCTCTCAAAAATAGTAGGGAACTCCCTGTCAGTGAGATGGCCCAAACAGGTTGATGACAATCTTACAGAGGGAAAAACTCCATTCAGGACAGGTGACATTTGGACAGAAATAGGCAGGGTGGTTAAGTGTGTGGGCTTTGGAGTTAAAGTGAGTTTTGGGCCCCAATCCCAGCTTTGCTTCTTTACCTCAGATGAGCTCTGAGGCCCCAGGACCCCAGTGAGGAAGTAGCTATGTGACCTTAGGCAAACCACCCACGCTCTCTGAGCCTCACAGTTCTCATTGGCCTCCTGGGTTGTGAGGGAGACATGAATGTGTGGGTGGTGCCAGACACAGCTGGCCAGTCCTCAGATGTGATCGTGAGACTTCCTGGGTCTCCGTCTGCTCCTCATGCCCTCCTTGAACCCTGACAGCCTGGCCCAAGTCTCTCCGTCCTCGCTGGCATGGCAGACAGAAGGTGGGGCTTCCTTCAGGCCATGTCCCCACCCGCGGGAGCTAGCTTGCTTTTAGCCAGGTCACTGTACCCCATCCTTACTGTAATCCATCCCAGTCCCCTCCTCCAACCCGCCAGCCTCCCAAAGAGCTCCTCAGAGTCTTCAGATCACACACCAGTGTCCCCAAAGGCCAAAATGAAAGACAAATACAATCAGGTCTATTTGTCACCAACTTTATTTCTGGCTTCATTTTGACAGTCAATGAAACAACTTGTTCAATGTCCCCTCCCCAGTGTTCAAGGTACCCTTCTATATATTATTAACTCTTTGCTAACATATTTAATATTTAAATACAAGGAAAAACAATAAATTACTCGTTGGCTGAGAGCTGGCTGCTGGCTGGCAGACAGGAGCAGCTGTTCTGCTCCTCTCCTGACCCTGCCTCGGATGAGGCTTCGAGGCCCCAGGACCCCAGTGAGGTAGCAGAATTCTGTACACAGTACTTATTACCAGGGACTCCTGGTGTCCACTGCTTTAGTGCTGGGGCCCTGAGTCTCTGAACCCTTGGCTCCAAGTGCCAGCAGCCACAGTCTTCCCCAGTCCCCAACGCTGACAAACACACTCATTTAAATAACACACAATAATAAATAAGGCCAAGAAGAAATGTGCCTGAGCTGCTCTCTGCCTCAGTTGCCTGTGTGTAAAGTGGGTACCTCTCCCACCACATGTCTGGCAAGGGGGGCACCCACTGTAATGCTACAGTGTGCTCTAGGGCAGGGGAGGGGTGTAGGGACACGTCATCCCCGGATCCACCCAGCTCAGGGCCCTGGACAGAGGAGGCCCACCAGGCTGAGCCCTGGGCAAGGGGAAGGCTGGGGTCGGCTAGGCTGAAGACAGGCAGCACAGGCTGAGGTCTAAGCTAAGGAATTTTACCCCCTCCCTAACCCTCTTCCCCACCTCCCCAAGACGCTTTTGACAACAGAAAGAAAAATGAATCTGCAACTTCAATAGTCAGGTCCTGTCTCTGCAAATAATGATGCTTTCGATGTTTCAGTTGAACTGTCCCTCGCGAAAAAGTTTCTTTAAATGTAAGAGCAGGTCCTTTACGAACTGGGCCACCTCGATTTTGGTGTCTCGGACACGCAAGCTGGAAAACTGCTGCAGGACAAAGAGGGCAGCGCGTGAGTGGGACGCCAGAGGGCAGAACGGCCCGCACAAACCAGGGGCTTTCCAGGGACTGTCTCATTCAGTCCTCACGGAAGTCCCCATGAGGTGAGTACTGTTAGTACCTCTACTGTACAGATGTGGACATTGAGGCCCAGGTAGGAGTCAGGAGCCCTTGAGCCCAGGTCCTGTAAATCCCGAAGGCCATGTCCCTGCTGCCACAGTGGCCCCATCCCTGGGTGGACACACACCTTGGGTATTCAGCCAGCTTCCCTTCAGTGAGCCCAGGGTTGGCAGGAGGGGGTGCAGGGTGGGGGTGAGAGGTTGGGGGGCACCTTACCCCAGCGGAGACCTTGTGCGGGCAGAATCCGTTCAGCATCCTCTGGGTCTTCTCGATGGCACTGCAGCCTGACACATTGATCAGGGATTCCAGGGCTGCACAGTACTGTGGAGAGGGGACACTGAGGGGTCAGGCCCTGCTGGGGTGGCTGCCTTTTGTGAGTCTGCAGGAAGATGGGGCTGAGATGCCTGGTGCAGATGAGTCTGGGTGGTGGGAAGGGCCCAGATTATTGGGGGAGGGAGGAGAGCGCTTGAAGCTTGCTTGGAACCCCAGCCATGGAAGGGAGTCTCAGAGAAGACAGGCCCAAGGCCTGGAGCCTCTGCCCCATCCTCCCCGCACCTGAAGGTCCTTACCACGCCAGCTGTCAGGTTGATGCTCCACACCATGCTGCCATTGCAGAGCGGGGCCTGCGGGAGCAAAGTGACAGTGAGCAGAGTGGTGGCAGGGGTTGTGGGCCTGCCCTGCCAGCCCAGGCCAGGTCTGCACCAGCACAGGCCCCACACGCATCCCTCGTGTGGCGCAGAGGCAGGCCTGGCAGCCCCTCAGCGTTCCTGAGCTTCGTTTTCTGCTTTGAACAGCGAGCGTGGGGGTGAGGACCCATGTATAGGGTCTTGGAACTGAGAGAAAAAAATTGAGTGACACCACTAGTAAGGGACAAGCTGCATGTGAGGCTTGCCATAGTCAGGGCAAGAGGACAGGGGCCTGTGGAAAGGGCCAGGGTGGGGATGAGTGAAGTAGTGGTGGCCTGGGCCACTGTTGACCAAGACAAATCGGATGGGAGGCAGTGGGGGTCTGGTGTATTAAATGCCCTGCCTTCTGATTGTGAGGGAACATTGCAGTTAGGAGCATGGGCACTCTGGTGTTGGCCAGGCCTGGCTTGAATCCAGGCTCTGTCACTTAACCTCACTGAACCTTAGCAGAATGGGTTTATTGTACCTGCCTCTTGAGGTGGCTGGCAGTGATGAAATGACACATAAAGCACGTGTACCAGGCCTGGTGTAAGCAGCGCTCAAGACATGTGAGCTGTTACTAGTGAGGCAAGGAGTGGACTCTACTCACAAATCCTCCTGTAAGGGCAGGCCTATTATGGTGCTGGGGAGAATGGCTGCATTATTATGGTCAAAATCCAGCTGGCAAATGCCACATGGTTCTGGGAGGGTGCTGGCCCTTCTCTGCTGTTCTGTGTTCAGGAATGGCTGAGTAGGAGCTGGCAGTGGCGGACAAGGCCAGGCCAGGAGAGCAGGTAGTCCCTGGGGACTCTGCCAGACCCCTTCATAGGTCCATCCACACTGCTGAGCCCCCCAGCCCAGCTCCTCTCTCTCTCATGGCTGGGCCAGGCCTTGGTCCATGGGGATTCTTCCTGACCCATAGGCATCTTAGGATCCAAGCCCAGCCTGCTCATTACCTCATCCTGGGAATCACCCGCCCTGGAGCCCTCATAGCTAGGACCCTGGCTAGCCGACACTCACCTTCTGGTTCTGGGTGATGTTGACCAGCTCCTCAATGAGCTCCTTGAGGGCTGTGGAGGGAGGCACAGGGCTTGGGGAGGCAAAGCCGCCGAGGCAAGTGAGAGCAATGACCATGGTCAACAAGAGCGCCATGAGGCCCAGTGCCAACAGGAGAGGATTGAGGAGCGGACGCATAGGCTGGGTGGCTTGTAGCCTTGGCGTCTTGTGGCAGCTTTTATAGGCCCAAGTGGTGACGCCTGACACCATGGTCTCTGCTTTTTCAGGCACTATCTAGAAACCACATCTTTACTCATCTTGATTTTACTTTGTGGAAAATCCAGTGTCGCATAAAGGAAAGAGTCTGATTTCTCGTGGACTTATTGAGAAGGGTCCAGGGCAGAGTTTCCAAGATCTGGGTGGGTTTAATTCCAGCAGCAGGCAAGGGGCCCTGAGAGCAGCATGGCATCTGCAATGCTACCCTGAGTTCCAGCAGTTCTACCTGTGACAACCCTGAGTACCTGGACAGCTGACCCAACTCTGAGCTCCTGTCCTCAGACCCTTTTGGGTCACCGGAAGTGCTGGGCAGATAGTGCACTGTGGCTGTGGCCACAGTCTACCAGCTATGGGAATTCGGGGAGTTTTATTTTTTTAATAAACCAGTCTCTTAAATTACTTAAGTAATACTTGCTTGGATACAAAATTCAAACAGGCAATAGAAGAGTAAAGTTCACTTCTTTTGGCTTGCCTAATTCCTCCTTGGCCCCACTGTGGGAGGGATTATCAAAGGTCAGATTTCCAGGTCTCCACTGAGTGATCCAGACAGATTCAGAGGTCTTCCTGGGACCTTTTTTGGTGTTTTTTGTTTTTTTGGAGATGGGATCTCACTATGTTGCCTGCCTAGGTTGGCCTCCGACTCCTGGACTTAAGCGATCCCCCCACCTCAGCTTCCAGAGTGGCTGGGAATAGTGTGCACCAGTGTCTGGCCCCTTTAATTTAAAGTGCACGGGCCATCCTGCTGGGAAACTCTTAACCGGGCCAGGCTGGCAGCCTTAGTTCAGGTCAGAGATTATAAGTGTTCCTAGTGCCACTGGAGCTTGGGGTGATCCCGTTTGCTCACCAGTCTCTGCAGGATCAACCCCTGCCGTCTGGGGGCCTCAAGTTTCCCTTCTGCAGAATGAGTGCTGTGGTGGGGCGGCTCCTGGGCCTGGCCCCTGCAGCCATGTCGCCTTTTCCTGCTCTTCCCTCATTTTCCTAGAAGTCCTCCAGAAACCCCCACAACAGAGGCCACGGCATTTGCCTGTTGGGTGTTGATGTCAAGATTTCTCCTTTACCCACTTCCTCCCCGAGCCAGCGCCTCCCCAGCCCCCCTCTCTGCCTGCTCAGGCTCCCTCCGTCCTGTCCTCAATGGGGCTCAACCTCCTCACAAGGGTGTGCTTGTGACCTGTGCCACAAGGGATGCTGGATTCCCGCCCAGAGGCATCCCAAGCTTGCTCACCCTCTCTTCCCACAGGGAACATCATTCCCACCCTCTCTGTCCACACTCGAAGCTTCCCAGCCCAGCTACTGGCCCTGACTCCCAAAAGTCTGCCCCTTCCCCTCGAGGGCCCCCAGTGCCTGGAGTGCCGCTACTTGGCTGTGTGACCCCTCTACGGGCCTGTTTCCTAACCTGGAGTAGAGAGTCCATGGCATCTCCCATAGGGTCTCCGTGATGGGGGAAGCAGCGGGGAACTACCCTGGGCTGTGCAACTCCCGGTGCCCCGCCCGGATGAGTCAACGCCCCCGTAACCCCCACGGCTACCAAAAGCCCAGCCGGGAGCGGTGGGCAGGCGCGCCCCCGCGCGTGGGAGAAGGCGCTGGCGCGGCGGTTGCGGCGGCGATGGCCCGCGGAGATAGGGGAGTGGCCTTATGTAACAGGAGATAGGCCCGATAAGCGGGATCTGCGCGGCCGGGCCCTCCTCCACGGCCTCCGGAGGTGGCCGGTGCGGGAAGCAGGGGTGGGCGCGCAGACCGGCCTGTCTGGAAGCTGCAGAGGCTGGCGAGGGGGCGGCAAAGGTGGACGTGGTGGTCCGAGCGCCAGGCAGGGCAGGGGCCAGCTGGACACCTGGGCCCGCGGCGCCCCGAGCGCCAGAGCGCACCGGCGAGGGTGGGAGCGGCGGAGGGGCCGAGGCGCACACGTGCCCCTCCAGCACCGGCCGTATCAGGCCGAGGGATCCTGCGGGCCCGGCCGAGCGGCAGCGCCTGCCCTCGAGGGTGGTCTCCGCGGACCGAGGCGTGCCGGGCCGTGCGGAGAGGCGCGGCCCAGATGGCTACATCAGAGGGTCTGTTGCTTCTTTCTAGATTGTCAGTGGAGCCCCACTCCGGTGCGGGCAATTTTAATTAACACTAACTACGAAAGGGCCGCTCCGGGCACTTGGCGCATGTGGCTCGCACCTGCCTGCAATGCGCCGCGTGGGCCGCCCGCTGATGGCCATGGGGAGCCTCCCCGCTTTGCTCTGGCCCCGAAGCGCTGGGATTGGGACCGCCCTTCCTCCGGACCAGCTCACCCTGGAAAAGCTGGGAAAGCTGGGGTTGCTTTTTCGGGTTTCCTCGGACTCTGGGTCTCCGTTGGCAAAGACATGCCCATTCGGGAGGAGTAAGGTCTGAGAGAGTTGTTTTAGTAAGTGAAACGATTTAATTTTTTAGATTTTTATTTTTAGGAAAGTTACGAATGCTGATAATTGTAAAAATCAAGAAGGTTCATTATGTAAAGCGGCAGCACTGGGAATCCGTGCTCTACGGGCCTCTGGCATTTCTGCTCCTCTTGTGAGTGAGGCACTCACTGCCCTGCTGTTTCCCTTACTGTCTTTTAAAGGTTGTTTATATTGCAGACTGTCTTGGAAGAGATAGCACCTTGCTCCGGAGCTAAAGGCAGGCGCACTTCCCATTATAAAACTTCAGGCGCCCTAAGCTCATGCTTCCTCTCCTCTAAAGCAACCCATTTGTGCAGGTGCCAGCTCGCCCTCTCTGCGTCTCCCTGGGAGAACTGGAATTCAGGGAACAAAAATGTTCATGCTCTGCTACTACTTCTGTGCATAATAAACATGTTTGCCGTTGATTCAAGAATCCTGTGTCTTCTACCAGCATCCACGAAACTGTGAAGTGTGGCATGCTGACTTGTTAGCTTGTAAGTAGAGTAAAAACTCAGATCTCTCCATTTTTGACAAGCAGCCTTCCCCCACCCCAGCCTGTTATCCAGGGAAACCTCTTTATCTCCCTTCATGTTTCTAAATTAAGCCTAGGTTGCTGTTTCTTGATTTTTTAGACATAGGCGCTGTTGTCTACAATGAATATTTCATTCTTTCTTTCTTGCTGTCCTTCCTCCACCTGCATCCTTCCTTTTTTCTCATCAATACAGGTAGATCATAATTTGGGTCAGTCAAAGCCTTGTATGCTGTTTGCCTAATGATACTAATATATTCACAGGTGAAACATGGTTGGCTATGATTACTTTTATTTTCTTTCAAAACTTTTTACCTCTGGAGTTAATAATTATCTTGTTTTTCCATATTCTTAGTTTTCTGTGTTCCTCTCAGTGACTGAACCCTAAACTCTCAACCAAATACATGAAACTACTCTCAAGAAATTTGATGAGTTTTTCTCATAATTCATCTTCCTAAGAAAGCCGGGAGGTTAGGCCGTCTGGCCTGCTCTGATCTAGCACTGCCCCGACCCTGCCACACAGCTGTCGTCCTGAGGCCTGTCGCCACTGCCCTGGGAACTCCCTTCGCCACTATGTGTGCTTCTCTTGAGTTTTTGATCTTTCTTTTTTCTTGGGTAAACATATCCCCTGATAGCTTTCTAATAAAGGGTGTGGAGAAGGTAAACTTTTTGAGAACTTGCATGTCTAAATAGATGTTTTATCCTCAAGTTGAATTTGACAGTTTAGTTAGGTATAGAATTTTAGGCAGGAAATACTTTTCTTTCAGAATTGTAAAGGCCTGTGCTGTTGCCTCCTATCTTCCAGAAGTGCAGAAGTCTAGAACCACTTTGAATCCAGATCTTTCCTCGCTCCTTTTGTAGAAATTGTCTTGGTCCCCACACTCCACATTTTACAACAATGTGCCTTGGTATAGTTCTGTTCTCAACAACTGTACCACATACGTAGTGGGCCCTTTCAAACTGAAGACATGCCATTAAGTTCTGGTAAATTTTATTTCTTTAAAAAACCTCTCTGTTGTTTTTACTTCTTTTATTGTTGTTGTTGAGACAGAGTCTTGCTCTGTTGTCCAGACCGGAGTGCAATGGCGTGATCTCAGCTCACTGCAACCTCCGCCTCTCAGGTTCAAGGGATTCTCCTGCCTCAGGTCCTGAGTGGCTGGGAGTATATGCACCCGCCATCACGCCTGGCTAATTTTTTGTATTTTTAGGAGACGCGGTTTTGCCATGTTGGACAGGCTGGTCTCCAACTCCTGATCTCAGGTGATCTGCCCGCCTTGGCCTCCCAACATGCTGAGATTACAGGTGTGAGCCATCGCGCCCGGCCCTATTTTTACTTCTTATCTTTGAATAAATATTCCATTCACATGGCACAAAAATAAAAACTATATACATTCTTTATTCCTCCTTTCTCCCTTCTTTGGGTTGTACATGGTATCATTTCTTGTTTGGTTGTTCAACACAGAGGTTAGGAACACCCATCTTCACCCTGTTTTTTCAACCCCCAGCCATGCAGTTGAAAATCCACATATAACTTTTGACTTCCTCAGAACTTAACTCCTAATAGCCTATTGTTGAGTGGGAGCCTTATTGATAACATAAAATGCATTAACACATATTTTGTATGTTATATGTATTATATACTGTATTCTTACCATGAAGTAAGCTAAAGAAAAGAAAATGTTGGCTAGGCGCAGTGGCTCATGCCTGTAATCCTGGCACTTTGGAAGGCCAAGGCAGGCAGATCATTTGAAGTCAGGAGTTTGAGATCAACCTGGCCTACATGGCAAAACCCTGTCTCTACTAAAAATACAAAAATTAGCCAGATGCACTGGTGGCACATTCCTGTAATCCCAGCTACTCAGGAGGCTGAGGCTATAGAATCACTTGAACTCGGGAGGAAGAGGTTGCAGTGAGCCAAGATCACACCACTGCACTCCAGCCTGGGTGACAGAACAAGACTCCATCTCAAAAAAGAAAAAAAAAGGTTGTTAAGAAAATCACAAGGAAGGAGGAAAAAATATATTTCCTATTCGTCATTAAGTAGAGGTGGAACATCACAAAAGTCTTCAGTGTCACTCTCTTCACGTTGAGCAGGCCAAGGAGGAGGAAGAAGAGGAGGGGTTGGTCTTGTCATCTCAGGGGTGGCAGAGGCAGGAGAAAATCCATGGATAGGTGGATCTGTGCAGTTCAGAACCTGCTATTCAAGGGTCAACTGTGTATGTAAAAAATTTAGTGGAATCTCCACCTTCCCTCACAAATAATTTTTGTTAGGGGTTTTTTTTTTGGGGGGGTGGTTATCCTATTTGTTTATGTAAATACAAGCAACTGTGG